TCGTAGCTCAGCCTCGTGTATCTTGCCGTTATGGGAGGTGCGCATTCTACCGATCGTTATGACCCCATCGAGCGCAAAGCTTTCCGCTCCACATCCTAACTCTGCACATGTGCAGATATGAGGTGGCATGGCGATGAAGAATGGGTGCGTTGAAGATATGACGGTGGAATTTCTCCTAGCCAAAAACGGGATATTTGAGTCTTTTGGTATCACTTCTTGTGATGGGTTTTGATGTAAACACTTTGTATTCTGATCTTTTGATCTCGTCTCGGGTCTCATGCAAATCACCACTTCCCCACAAAAGACTTCACCCGTATGTGATATGGCCCCGGATCGAGTAATCATCATGTTGCGGGTCTCACATGGAATTAATGTGGATCACCAGTTTCACTTCTAGGTGGAAAGTTCAATAGACATGTTTAGCAAATTCGAACTGGAATGACTCATTTGAAATGTGTAGTTTTTAGCAGAACGCGAAGCCTGGTAGTTTTGGACTCACATTTGTATGTGTTCCTAGATGTCATAGTCTTACAAACATGTGATATAGCGGATTGAATAACAGTCATACTCACAATAAACATATGATGATTATATACAACAAAAACACGACAGAGAGAAATGATTTATTTACAAGAAAACATACCAGATTTGAAGAAAACATGAATCCATCGTGTACTTTTGATTAGAAATGAGATTCTCAGTAACCGTTCAGGAATGGATGGAGACAGATGTTTGATTTACTAGAAACAAAACTTGAGAGTGAATAAAAATAATCCAAAAAGATACATTCACAAGAGAAAGGTTAAGAGAAGAGTGAAGAGGGTGAGCGAAAAAAGTATTCTCAAATATAAGCTCGTTTCTTGAGCAAATTCTGCAATTCCAAGAGATAATGATCAAGGAGATGAGTAGGAATTCGGTTGGTTTTGTCCCAGAGATACTTTCCTGTCATACTCAGTTGAGATAGATGCCTTTCACTATAGCAAGATTCTGGTAATCCATCACAAGCCCGAGCTTTTCTATTAATTCTTCCAGAAAATGTCCTCTTAGAATCCAACCGACGTGCAACCATTCTACCCGACCCTCTATTTCTTCCATGCTGGCGAGACACTTCATCAATCATGTGTAAGAATTCTTTGTACTTCGAACTACGCCAGCCTAAATCGATTGAAACATAGCCACCGTTCCCATCATCTTCGGTGTCTGAGCAACAAGTAGCCTTTGGAAGTAGGGCCAAGGCCGGTATGCCCAGAGCGGCTTCAATTGTATTTTTGCGATACCTGAACAGCTGTGAATGGGAAGAGAGCACATAGTCAGACCATTGAGTTTTGTACACAACTAGTATGGTTTCAACTAACTCTACCGCGCTGTTCAGCTTTCCTTCGGATCGAGACCAGACGAGGGTTCTTCGAATGCTTCTTTATTTCTTCTGTCTGCCCCCGAAGCCATCTTTCCAACGTACCCAAGCACATAGGATCTCCATTATGCCCGGGGTTAATTGGGTACAAGGAGAACACGCCTTGGCTGAGTCCCCATCCGTAGTGTTTTGCTATACAAGCTAACATGATGGAGTTCCAAGGGGAATCTGGCGATCGCATCCAGTCAAGTGTTGCACGTGGAATTCCAAGGTTTGTCAGTTCGTGTAGGAACAGCTGCCTATGTCGTGACCACGAGGCCTTTTGTCGGCGAGGATGTTTGAGGTCGGTATTAACCGTAGATTCAGCCTCTAGATGTAATTGAAATATGCGGGTATCATTGATAATTTCAGATGGTGTAAGCTGAGGAAGTTTTGAGATCTCATTGAGAGTCGGACTAGAGGGATCGGGGGTCTTTGAATTAGTTCGTCCGAGAAGATATCTCACAAAATCCGACACAGATTCGCAGTACGGGGTGTTGTGGTCAGGGAGCCAGTCTGAAACCTGCTTGTTTTGTTTCTTGACGGATCCTTCAGTTTGATTGTCTGCCAAAGGGTTACAAGAGTTTAAGGTATCAGCAAGTGATAGTCACAACCATTGTGTTAGACACCTGATCATTACCTGGGTGATCCATTTTAGCGCTGACTTCGAGTGATGCTTGAGGCTTTGAATCGCACAATCAAGACTAGTCTATGTCCAAGCGGGAGCTAGTTCTTGGAATGGGAGTAGGGAGTTGGGCCGATAAAGGCTCTGTCTGTATGTATGTACTACTCGCTATATTATAATGCATAGAGCACTTAAAGCACTTAAAAACAGTGCATAGCCCTCTTTAGGAATTGAGATTTCGCATATGTAACACTAATCCCTGCTACCAAAGCCTGTGTCAATGGCGCGTCCATCGCATCACAATCACGTAACATGGAAATATTCAGAGATAGAAAACGGCTGGCTGTGTCCAGGTATCTAAGTATGTGTTGATGCGGATGAACTTCAGGCGTCTCTGAATGTTGACACTGAGCTTGTGTTCAAGACGGCATGCTCATTAAGTTTGCTGTGCATTCCAAAGCTGCGCACCACGCAGCGCCTGTCAACAAACAGGCGACAATCATAACACAATCTTGGAAAACGCTTCAGTAACGCGTCGGGAGTGTGAATTTCGGACCCTGTGGTATTGTGTAGGCGGCGTCCCTCTAAAGGTAAAAAATTGACTATTGGATTATTCCCAGGTAATTGGTTAGTAATTACCATAGTGAAATACAGAGTGAATGAATATCACAAACTTTTTCAAGAGCTGTCGGATTATCATGTTGCCTCACAGGCATTTGAAAGAGTCTTGATGCTCGGTTGGATACCGCGCGAGGTCTCCCTTTTTCACGATATTTCATTGTTCCGCAATGTCGTCTGAAATTCGAGTGATATGATCGGCAAGCGAATGAGTATTTGATTTGAAGTTTGAAGTTGGCTTGAAATGTAAACGGTGTAATATACGCGATGGCCACCAGTATTGCGTTGAGAGTCGTGATTTCATAGTAGTGTCGGAAAATTTGCGGACTGGACCTCAAACTCCGACGGTATACATTTGGTCATTTCAAATGCGGATACCTGCGCGCATGGTAACCACGGTACATATGGGACCCGATTTCTCGAATCCCATCCACCTTGATTTGTAAAGAGCGGGGCCATTTGGGCCTCATGGGTTGGTAGATGGCAGTTCTTCTTCAATGGGTAAGCTTATATTTTTATTTCCAAGTAAGACTCCAATGACTGTATTTCCACCACCTGTTTACCTTCACAATTAGGTAAGAACATCAATCAAGTTTAACATCGATATGGTTAGATATCACACAGCTAGAAAAACCAAAGAGTGGAAACGTGAATCAGTCTAGAGTAGGTGAAATTTGATATTAATTTACAGATTTGTAATGGTACCGCTCGCCACATGAAATCCGATGGTGAAGCGGTAGAATATGTAACAATTGCGATTACAACGTGTGACTTTATAGCGCAAGAAATGCCATTTCAACAGAGACAGAATTGGGAGCGGAAAGAAATATGTGAAGACATTTCGTTGACACAAGAAATAGGTCTCGTAAGCAATCTCCAAACGCAACATTATCAGTTTGGGTCAACCACATCATTGGAGCGGAGTTCTTCAGTGTTCAATAAGTTTGCCAGACCCTATAAGAAATATAGGTGTCAGATCAGAACGCAAGGTGTCAGTGAAATTGAGGTGTTGCTTACCATGAGATCTGCGCAAGCTGGCTGGAACATGAAATGGCATTTAACTCCTATTGATTGGAATACTTCCACCAGCTCCTGATCACGAAGTCCAGATCCTTCGGGCGTTGTGAAGACTATGTGTTTTAGTTTTGGAGGAACCGTGATTGAAGCGCGGTCAGTCTGAGCTAAGATGCTTCGCCAATATACGTTCCCGTGCCAATAACTCGTAACCAACACTTCAATTGATTGTAGTAACGGCCATTTTAACCACTGAAGATCAATTTCCAATGGATTCGAGTGGCAGTATTCACTTCGGAGAACCCGGAGTTTAGGAAAGCAAGTGTCGCGGCTGTCGCGTGGGATACGGTCCGGAATAGAAATTATGAACAGAACTTGGAGTATGTCTTGTAATCCTAAGGCTATCGGGGCTATTGGGTCCGGATTAGCCTGTGGGAGTAATTCTAGGCAACTGATTTTTCTTGCAGAAGACTGACATATGTCCTTTGCAGCTTGTAGGTTGTCGAGATCACACGCAAACCAAAAGTGCTCCAAGTCGGGAAGAGAATTGCGCGCCAATTCCATCGCGGATAGGAATGAGAAGTTGAGGGATAAAGACTTTAGTTGCGGAATCCTTTCGAGTAGGAACTTAATTGACTTTGAATCGTGTGGGACCCCTGAGGAGCGGGAACCTGAAATATTGAGAGTATGTAAACCTGTAGCAAGCTGAATGGTGTTTGATAACTCAGGAGTGAATCCAACGCAGTCGATAAACCTAAGTTTTAGTTGGGTTAAGGTGTACCTGCATAAGCTAATAATTGATGCCGCGTTTTGGGGTCGGATAGAAAATGGGTACACTGGTGTTGGAGACGGCAATGGTTGTCCATGTCGGGAAAGAGGCATTGGATGTTGGACTCCATCCAGGCAGAGTCGTTGTAATTTTGGAAAGCCAGGAGTCAGGTATGATGTTTTCCAAATGCCTGCAAGACTGCTGGCCATGTTATCGCGAGGTAGGCGCAAATTTTTGAAAACAGAGTCGAGAATGACAATGTCCCAGGCTTTGCTTAATAAACGCAACTGAAGCAGACGGGTAACTTGCGTATGATGTAGGAATGAAGTGTCGGTACAGTTTGTGGGGTCAGCAGATATAATGGGGCTTTGATTAATTATGTTTTCAACGATTAATCGGACGCCTTCAACTGGTAATTGTTCGGTTTCAAAGGGATGGGGGAATGTCAATGAGGTCATGCACATTTTGGAAGTAAATGGCATGGTATGAAGTACCAGAAGTCGGTTTAGGGACGTCACTTTATAATGAAATGAAGGGGTGGTCATTCGTCGTACCTAGCTGTCTGACCCCAATGCCTATGCCTTCAATGACAGAAATCGCCGCCAATGTGAATGGATAGTTTGTGTCAATCGATCCGGTGGAAATCAACTTGGTAATTGTCAATTTTTGGGCTTTCAGGAGCAAGCAAGCATGCTCGTGAAAGATCTCTGCCCAAATGAGCAACATGGTGACATGTGTAACGGTTAGTCGTGTCGTAATATAAGTTTTTCAGGCCTTGCGATCGTTGATGTGGTCAAATGTTTTCGGTCTCGTAATCTTTGATGTGGTGTTTTCTTGGTCTCGACGCCCGGGAGACAGTGCAGAAAGTAAATACCAAACTTTAGAGGATGGGACCGGTTGTAATTGGAGTGTAGTGGGGGCCAAAAGTTGCAAGACCGGAGTGGAGGGGTATACATCAGCTTGCTTGACGGTGATTGAAAGATGGAGAGGAAACTTGGTGGGTGATTGGTGAGGGGGGTTGTAGGTACTTAGGGTGTTAGGCCTTATGGTTTAATCCGGTTTTGCCTTTAGAGTTATGATATAGAAACCTAATTACAGATACATACCCTCTATAAACGGTATGTAACATGTAAGAAAGTATATAAAAATACTTATTACATATACATGTACACTTAAAATACCATGTAATATGTAACAACACATCAAGTACACCTCATGACTCAGTGTCAAGAGTTAGTGGTTTGGAGACAAGAGTATATCAATGCCTCCTCTCTCAGCCTTGAGAGAGTTCCCCCCAAGCTTTTATTACACAGTACTTTTAAAGAACCACTTTAAAGTAATATTCAAGTACATTATCAAGAGTCTTATAACTATAAGACTAGTGATTTACTTCATTACTTGAAGAAGTTTCCTGACTAAAAGTAAGTAATACATTCTTCATTCCATCTCTGGATCCTCTACTTCCCCTAAGTAGAAACAAATAGGTTGGTGACCATAGAACAACCCAAGGTTGGTGACCATAAGAACAACCCAGGGTTAGTGACCATAGAACAACTAGTCTAGTGAACTTCAAACCACTCTTTGATCTGTCGCTTGAAGATTAAAGGAAGGACTAGGATCCAACCTTCACCAATTATAATCTTATATCATTATAATCCAAACCTCCTTTTAAGGAGTCACCTAACTGTAGTCTGTCAGGATTTATCCTTTCAGACCAGTATCTTCCCTTCCTCATTCCCTTTCTTTGTTTATAATTCCTTGTAAGTACATTATACTTGAAATATAATTATAATTACTTGAATTATAAGACCTACCTTGCCCAATTAGTGAGCCTTGAGTACTCACAAGAGTAACCAACCCTCACACTATAAGTGTTAAGAGCTAATCAAAATGGGGCTAGTGTTGTGATACTGTGATACTGAACCTACCACGGTGTCCGCTTTGACATCTCTAATTACACTCGTCAAGGACTTCCGGCATTTATTACACATTATGTACGACTGTTACAAATCAAGAGGAAATGAAGGAGAGTTGAGTTATGAAATGATCTGTTACGGAAGTGTATGTTTGTTTTGGGAATAAGTCGTGTGACTTGAGCTGTGTGTTTTTCTTTCTCTTTTAATATGTTACGTATTGACGATTGTGTGTGATGCTTGTATAACTAGCTACTGTTGTTCAACACCCAGATTCTTTTCCCTCATCAAAAAGAATCTGTGAGTGATTTTCCTTACACCTATCCTTCCTAACATCATCAGCCTGACCATTAGCTCTTATATATGTTTCTTCAGTATTTTAGTGTTTACTCATCTTTTCATTTGATCACTTTACTTGACCTTGTTGCATTCGCACAGGTTTGTGTCATTTCACTATATCTTTCTCTTTCTTTCATTTTTACTAATTGTTGTTGCGCTAGGTTTGTCTCGTTCTTATTAGCATCTTTTAGCTGAGTGAGGCCTGTTGCCAAAACTCACATCAGACCTGATTTCCCCAGGTATGATTAGTTTACAAATCATCGAAAAGAATCTTATTTTAGTGTTTACTCATCTTTTCATTTGATCACTTTACTTGACCTTGTTGCATTCGCACAGGTTTGTCTTGTTCTTATTAGCATCTTTTAGCTGAGTGAGGCCTGTTGCCGAAACTCACATCAGACCTGATTTCCCCAGGTTTGTCTCATTCTTATTAGCATCTTTTAGCTGAGTGAGGCCTGTTGCCCAAACTCACATCAGACCTGATTTCCCCAGATCTGCTATATTTCGGCATAGCCACGATACTCAGCTCATCTCGAGCCTGCACCTCTCATCTTTACATGGTAGCGAGAGTCTTTGACACTGTTCAAAACTCTAACTTTTTCCGACAACTTAACTGAATGCAATCACCTGACAAAGACGATTCCACCAATCCAACTGACACCGAATCAAATTCTGACTCTGACACATCGAGTTCCGTTAAATCTTCTGACACAGTCAAACGTACCTCCACTGGACTAAAATCTCTTGTTTTAACTTTGAAATTGCCCTCATCTCCAATTTTGACCGACAAGGCTTCATCACTTGAAAACTTAACGCCGTTACAATCTTTCATACATTGCACGACTTCATCCCTCAGTAAATTCAACATCAAAAATGATCTTACAGATGAGAATTTTAACTACTGGAACTTATTGATTCACGAATCCATAGAATCTTTAGGCTATGAGTCTTACTTAGATGTGTGTGATTATGTTGATCCGACTCTTACTGAGGAGAAACATAAGAAAATCAAATTTCTATTGACTACATGGATACTGAACAAGTGTGATGGAGTAAATGGTGAACGTGCTAGAGATGCTTTAACTGTTTGAGACCCTGAAACGAAAACCATGACTATTCACTACGACCCTTATGTTTTATGGAAACATCTCAATGATTATCATTTGACGATTTCTGAAGCCAAGCTCAAGCATATTGAGACTGCCTTACTTTCAATGACTCAACTACAATCAGACTCATTGAAAGTTCACATATACAAGTTCTCCTCTTTGTTACGTGAATATCATAAATATAAAGGAGATATGCAAGATGGTCAGGTTGCTCAAACTTTGATTAAGAGCTTGAAGCCTGGTTATGAAGTAACTATTGCCATCATCTATCGAGTCATTCAACCTCTCACTTTTGAAAAAGTCAAGCGAGAACTC